GCTCTAGGCGATCGCCTAGTGAGTGAGCCGCCCCTGTTTGCATGACCGCGTGGTGAATTGGCCACGCACACGGTCTTAGATGGATACATTACAGCTTGCCTGGGCTATCCAGGTCAGGACAATAAATTAAATAACCCTCTCTTTACACAAGCACTGTCTTATCTCCTACTCCATTTGCCCGATTCATTTATTTGCTACACAAACACTGTGGCCAGATCAATACAGATGGATGTTCAGTCAAGCATATCAGAATTCCTTTCTTTCAGCATCAAGTTTAAGTTGTCTCCCTCCAAGCAACCATTTAGCCATTCTGATGCTGGTAAAGTATGCCCTGGTTATAGCATTGGAATTCATAGGTAAAACTTTTTTTTAATGTGCTAGTATCCAACCATTTAGAATTTTAAGGGGTAAAACCAGAAGGTTAAGTGGGACCCAACTGGGAGCCAATGAAAGCGTCAGATTGGTGTTACGTGCTAATATAAGCAGGTTAGCAAATATGTGGCTACGGGAGATATAACAGCAATTATCAGGGGTCATTTCGTAGAAAAAGAGCTAGGGGAACTCATTAGCATACCTCATTAGCATATGCCACCCCCCCTGACATCAGGGGCCCGGCGGTGGACCTGCAAGGCCAGCGGGAGTGCGAGGAAGCCCCGCCAAGGCCCTCCCTGGCCCCAGGCAGGCAGGGGTGGGGAGAGGCAGGGAGGAAGCAACTTACCCTCCCTCTTCTCCTGCCTCCTCCTGGCTAAATGAGGGCTGGAAGCGGAGCGGCCGGAAGCAGGGGGCGGGGCTTTGTCATGTGCCCCGCCCCCTGCACCTCACCCGGGGGAACTGTGTTCCCCGCGTTCCCCCCCGAAATGACCTCTGGCAATTATATACTTCCGGAAGGCTTTTGTCAAGGCACCTCAAGAAAGCCTTGTGAGTAAGCTTAGCTGTCAAGGGATACTACAACAGATCCTTTTATGGATTAAAAATTGGTTAAATGAAGGGAAGCAGAGAATAGTAATAAGGTGGACAGTTCACACAATGGAGGGAAGTATGCAGTGGGGTCCCAGAAGGATTGGTATTGGGGCCGGTGCTATTTCATTTGATTATAAATTATTTGGAATTGGGGCTAAGCAGTGTAGTAGCCAAGTTTGCAGATGACACAAAATTATTCGCGCTGATGAAAACCAAAGGGGATTGATGAGAGCTACAGAAGGATCTGTCCAAATTTGGTGAGTGGACAACAATGTGGCAAATGAAGGTCAGTGCTCATAAGGTGATGCAATTGGGACAAAAATTCCTAACTTAATCCTAACTAAATGTATGCCGATGGGTTCTGAACTGGCTGAAACCAAGACTGAAAGAAACCTTGTTGTTATAGTGGATAGGTCAATGAAAACGTCAAACCAGTGTATAGCAGCTGTGACAAGGGCAAACTCCACGTTAGGGTTTATTAGAAATGGGATTCAGAATAAAATGGCAAATATTTCAATGCCCTTTTACAGAGCTAACATATAGCCTCATTTGGAATACTGTGTATAGTTCTAGTTGTCCTCTCTCAAAAGCAATATTGCAGAGCAGAAAAAAGTACAGACGAGAGCAACAGTGATGATCAAGGGATTGGAATACCTTTCCTCTGAGAGAGGTTATAAAGTTATGCATGGAGTGGATACAAGGGGATTTCTCTCTCTCTCCTGCAACACTAGAACTTGGGAGCACCCAACAAAGTTGAAGGGCAACAGGTACAGGACAGATAAAAAGAAATAATTCTTTATTCAACAAGTAACTAAATTGTGGAATTCACACGCCACCTCTCTATTTCTTGACGTTGGCCATTGGAGCAAAAGGGCAGTATCTGTCCCAAAGCTGGAATATAAAATTGACTTGAAAGGAAAGATGTAATTAGTATCATTGGGGCTGGATGACCATGGCGCACACTGACTTAACCATGACAAACCGGAAGACTGTGGTTCCTGAGCTACGGCCGGTAAATCTTGTCATGAATGTTGACTACTTTTCCTTATTGTCCAACAACCCCCTGGAACTTATTATTTCGATTTCCAAAACCTTTCCTGTCTTGCTTTGTGACAGCCATTTAAATGTTGCAATGAAACTGAAATTCCCCTCTCATAATCTGCATTGTGGCTCAATGTTATCATATATGCTTTGTATGTAATATATGCTATGTATACTTTAAGTGCTTCTATTGCTACTACTATCACCACCACCACCACAACAATCATGATGAGCTTAAGGACTCTTGAGTTCTATGAGAAGACAAGCCCTTGAGGAGAAGGACTTTTGGCAACATTTGGGTTGCTCGCTTCCAAAGGCACTGCTTATACTTAATCTGTGGCAGAGCATGTATATCAAAATATTTCCTATGCTATACAGGAAACAAAAGATAGAAAACTTTGAATGTTGCAAAATTTAAAACATTTAATTAGAAACGCCCAAGACAGAGTAAATGATTTTATGACAAGCCTTTAAAATTATTGCATTTAATTTCTTGTTGGAAATGCATAATTCCTTCAAGGATTGTGAGACTCACTATACATCGTTTCTTTGGTATCACAGTGCCACCATGTGGCAAAAAACAGGAATCTATACCAAATGAACAAAGAACACTGTTGAATAATTTAAGTGCCTAACTATAGATGGGTTTGTATGCGTGTGCCATATAATCCACAATTGAGAAGTACATATACAATTCTCATGAATGCTAAGTCACTGAAGACCTACAAATGTGATACTGAAGAAATCTTAGTAGCTTTATCACTATAATCCAACAAGGAGATCAGGATGTGCAAGCAAGTGTCTGCTTGTGCAGCAGGTACAGATGTGCAGTCACACCTCAGATTAATGGGCTCATCAAAGCCCAGTGGAGCATGCTAAATATCTCTTTTGAAAGGGGTGAGGAAGGAACTGCACAACCATATCTGGAACCACTAAGATTAGTTGTGCACAACTAATAACACATATATGTTATATGTTATATATATATACTAGCAGTAAAGCCCGTTGTGAAAGCAATACAACGAGATCTAGAAAGAGGCTCTGGGGGAGTGCTCTGGCTTTGGGCAAACAGTGTCAATTTGCTGTGGTGACCTCAGCAGGGTATAATGACAGAGTCCACTGTTTTCTCCAGAGGAACTGATCTCTGCTACCTGAAGAGCAGTTGTAATTGTGAGTAATCTGTAGCCCTCACCTGGAGATTGGCAGCAATTGTTACCCAGGACAAAATGGCTGGTTTGGAGGGTGGAGTCTATGGCATTCTACCTGTCTGAGGTCCCACCCCTCTGCAAACCCCACCCTCTCCAGGCTCCACCCCTCAAATCCCCAGGAATTTGTCAGCATGTAGTTGGCAACCCCATCTCCTTCCCAGCTAGCCACCAACCTACCATTATCTGCCCCTTTGACTTCAGCTGACTTCTGCCCTCCCTTCTGCAGAGCAGTTGTAATACTGAGTGCTCTCCAGCCCTCACCTGGAGATTGGCAACAATGGTTCCCTATGTGGGACTGACTGGTTTGGAGGGTGGAGTCTATGGCAGTGTACCTGTCTGAGGTCCCACCCCTCCTCAAACCTCACCCTCTTCAGGCTCCATCCCTCAAATCTCCAGGAATTTCCCATCTGGAGTTGGCAACCCTATCAGGACTGGCCCCAATGTGTTTTCTCCCAAAGGCCAAAGTAGGTGACAGGACCAAGCTTAGTTGCCTACCAACAGGCACTGAGGGGAATGTAGGGTTGCCAGCTCTAAGGAGGGAAATACCTGGAGGTTTGGGGGGTGGATTCTGTAGAGGGCCGGGCGACGGAGGCATCGGCCTTCTGTCGCCCGCCTTGCCCCCCCAATCTCGGCCATACCATACTAGTAGCCAGTAGTAATGGGAGAATTGATTCCGAGAGCTGTTGAACCATGAAGCTCACTGATGGCTGTTAGTAGTTCCTTATCTTTTGATTTTAATATAACTCACTCATTCTGAGATAATTCACATGTGAATATAAATCAATTAAAACTCACTTTATGTTTTTTGTTATATGTGTTTAGCAGTCAAACCACTGAACCCCACTAAATTTCTAAAGATTTGTGAAAGAAACACTTAGTGCTACACAAAAGTAAAGAACGATTGTGTGGGTAGTTTGTACTCACGCAGTGGTGGTTTGCACATCATGCCAGCTTTTGCTAAAGTTCTGTTTCAGTTCATTCATCAAGTTGATACCAAGTTTTTGTTTTATTTCCACAAGATGCTTCTCTTTGGCTACTAACACTTGTCGTAAAGTTGAGATTTCATCTTCTAGCTGAAGCGGGACTGCACAAAGCAGCCAGTCAACCCAGCCAGCGTCTTCTGAGTGGCAGTTCTTTCGGCCAAACACTAAAGGAGTGCATTTTGGAATGTTGGACTACGGCTTTATATATAAGGAGATATATATATATATGTTATATATATATATAACTAGAGAGAGTCCAAAATATCACAAATATCATTTGTCACATTATCTTAATTCAGGATCAAGTTTAAATGATCAAGTTTAAATTCAGGATCAAGTTTAAATGAACCAAATGTAACAGAAGTATATATATTGTAGGAAATGTCAATACGATGGCCACTGACCATGGGCACCATGTGGAGGATTACTAATCTAGGTCAAGACCAGAATTACAAGATGAGTAAAACAGGTCATCTCCGACTCCCTTTTAAAAGGAGCCATCTAGGAAATGAGCTGGAAGTGGGAACAGCTGCCACATCAGAACCTGTCTCACTGTGACTGCCATTACATTTTGGGTGGCCTTAACCTTTACCCTCTGCTGCTGGCTCTGTCTCCTACCGATCCCCTTCCTAGAATTACACACGTGCACCCCCTTCTTCCAACTGTGACACCCTCCGAGGGTGCCTGCCACACCATTTGAGAATCATTGCCACAGTCGTTTCCCCTTTGGATTATGATCACACAAATGTTACTCTTGCCAGGACAGGCCAAGTTTGCTGTGAGGTGCTATGGATGTGGAGTTCTGTACCTTCAGGGCTGTGGTGCCTTCGGTTTCAAGGAAGTTGCTACATTCTCCGTCATGGTACTCTTCTTTACATTCACGGCAGAATACAGACTGAAAGAAGAAAACAACAAGACAAAGACACATCAAGGATGGAGCTATGATATTACAGCCACAGAGGGATTGTATACCAGTTGATCCATTGTCACAAGTGTTGCTTGTGGGAAGAATCTGGAGGAGGGTTTATGACAGCAAGGAACCTATTCACTCATTAATTTGAGAGATAACATAAGGTCCCCAAACTTTGTGGGTGTCAGTGCACAGACAGATGCCAGTTTAGGATTTCAGGAGCAGCCATCTAATACAGTCAAATCTCATGCCACTGAGAGTCCTAAAAAATGAAGAACACTATCTAAAATGCAGGAAATATTTCCAACTGCTGAACTAACTTCTGTTTCCTTTAACAATAATATCTGCAAGAATTATTAGGTGATATTTACCTGTGAGTTCCCCCTGTCAACAGTAGTATACCAAGGCCCCGGTCACACGGGAGGTTTAGGGCCGGAAGAGGGCCAGATTGGGGGCGCAGCAAATGGGTGCGATCCCACCGCAATGTCTGGGAAGCAGCACGCACCCGTCCCCGATCCGGCCCTTCAGGCCGAAAATCCGCAGTGAAAATAAACTACCTACAGAGGTGGACTTACCAGAAAGGCCGCAGCAAGCGTGGCAGTGGGATCACCGGCGCGTCCTTCTGCCAGCGCATCCGAGGCTCCTGGCCGAACTGCGCATGCGCACACATGCACAGCCGGCTGCCTCGGTCCCCCGTCGGTGGCTTCCTCCCCGGCATCTGATCATGCCGGGAGCAACGGCGCGGCGGCTCAGGGGATCTGTGTGATCCCGCCACCATGTGTCTCTTTTGGTGCAGCTCTGAATAGCCGCACTTTGGCCGTGTTTTTTTCTGCCGTGTGGCAGGGGCGCAAGTTGCTTTTTTAAAGTCTCAAATGCAGGCCAAATCATTTTTTCAGTTAAATTGAAAAACCTAAATTGCTTAGCAACTTTTATATGCCCCCTCCAAAGACTTGCTTGAGACAGCTAAATTCAATCAATTTAGTAAAACATTGATCTATAGACTGGCTTCAGCAATAATCATTTCCACTGTTCAAAAGTGATGTCTAGCTATCATGCCTATTCTTTTACTTTATAATGAATGTATCTGTCTTGACATGCTGATGATCTATGAACAATCTTTTTTTAAGTTATTTTAATGCCTGTGGGCAAGAGAAATTGTCTCTAAATGTAAAATGGTCTTTTAAATAACATTCTGGAGACAACTGATCCTGAACCACCTTCAAAGCACTGAAGGATTTCTCAATGCTTAGCTATACTGACAAGCCAAGCTGATAAACCACTAATACAGATCTGGCTTTCACATATAACGAACAGACATATCGGCCATACTTGACACTAAAATGTTTATCTACCACACGTCTAATCTTTGCAGTTCCATTTTGCACTCTGTCACGCTTCTGTTGTCACTTTAAGTACCATAGGAAATCACAATTCATTGCAGCACAGCAGAATTGATGCTTATGCAAAATGAAACAGGACAAGAAGCTGACACTGCTCTAAAGCACTCTTTGAATGGAAAGACTGAGGTATCAAACTAATGCCTTCTGCTTTACCAGTTTTCACTCCCTCTTGAGAATTCAGATTTTGGCTGTATCTTACTTGGTAGATCTAAAATCTGTTCCGCATCGAAGAACAGAGAGAAGAGCAGGATCTAAACATTTCCATCCAGTTAGGCAGGGCTGGGTTAAGGCCAACTAGTGCCCTGAGCACAGCACAGCAATGGTGCCCCTTGGCCCTTCTACTGCTTAACTGACAAAATGTTAAGGCTCAATAAGAGCTGAAGGTGAAATGAGAGATTAAAAATTGAGTTTTCTTCCAGGACATCTCCCAGGCCAGACCCCACAACTATATTAAATATAAACTTTTAATTTTTTCCCTTTATTTAACACTAAATAGCAGTAAACAATATAAGCAAAAAACCTCTGTGGTGCCCCCTTCCCTCGGTGCCCTAAGCACATGCTTATTTTGCTTAATGGTTAATCCAGGGCTGCAGTTAGGAGCTGCTTGCTAATGAGGGATGCCAAAGTCATGTGTGTTTTGGAGCCCTGACTAAAATGCCAGAAAAATGAGCTAATAAGCAGGAGCCAGATCTAGAAAGCTGTAAAGAAAGGACTAGAACTCTGAGACAAGCACACTTTTGCCTATGGGATAGGTTAACGCTAAGGTTGCTTGGTAATATGAGTAATTTCTTTCAACTGACCGCTGTCTTGTGCAATTTCAGGAGACAAACATTAAACAGAATTTTCCCACTGTTGGTCCCTTGAGTGTGCTGGATACTCCTTATCTTCTTACTCTCTGCCCATCTCAGCCATTTCCCTTGTGCTTAGCTTGCCTTCATCAACTTTGGGCTTTGGGCTCCTGCAGCATGCCTCTGATTCTGCCCAGGTGCCTCTCTTAGGCTCTTGTCAGTGGTCGTAAGAACATAAGCACATAAGAGAAGCCAATGTTGGATCAGGCCAATGGCCCATCCAGTACAACACTCTGTCACACAGTGGCCAAAAATACCAGGTGCCATCAGGAGGCCCACCAGTTGGGCCAGGACACTAGAAGCTCTCCCACTGTTGCCCCCCCCCCCAAGCACCAAGAATACAGAGCATCACTTGCCCCAGACTGAGAGTTCCTATCTATACCTTGTGGCTAATGGCCACTGATGAACCTCTGCTCCATATGCTTATCTAATTCCCTTTTGAAGCCGAGCATGCTTGTAGCCACCGCCACCTCCTGTGGCAGTGAATTCCATGTGTTAATCACTCTTTGGGTGAAGAAGTACTTCCTTTTATCCATTCTAACCTGACTGCTCAGCAATTTCATTGAGTGCCCACGAGTTCTTGTATTGTGAGAAAGGGAGAAAAGTACTTCTTTCTCTACCTGCTCTATCCCATGCATAATCTTATAAACCTCGATCATGTCACCCCTCAGCCGTCATTTCTCCTTCAACCTTCTAGAGAGAAGCTGATGGAAGGCGTGAATGGAGTAGTGTTCAAAGCCTGGGCCAATTTCTCCATCTAAAAGCCACCCTTAAGACCAGACATTTTCACCAGGTATCTGTGCCCATTTCCAGATACTGGTCAGATCCATACCACAATGTGTTTGATGTGGTGGTGGCAGCAATTACTATGAGGCTACCTGTTTGAATTTTCTATTATCTGCTAGTTTACCCCATGGGAGCCTTTTTTGAGACAAGTAAGAATAGCAGTATCAATGGAAAAAAGAGCCTGTATAATATGCCATGATGTGAATTAAGAACTGAGGACTCAAAACAAACAAAGAAAGATCTCACGTGGAACATGTTTTTACAGAGGGAGTAATATGTATTAGAAAGTTTTGTTAGCTGCAATACATTTCAAAAGAGAAGCAGGTTTTATGTGAAGCAAGAGAAAGTGCTGTAGCAGCAGGAAGTTAATGAATTCGTTTCTAAGATGTCATGGAATCATTTGTGCTTTAGCATTAATAAAAAAGCGACACAGTTGAAAAATTCCACCTAGATAATCCAGGTAGTGCCAGGCTTTGTCGAATCTCTTCCTGTTCCACCCATTACAACCAACCAAAACACGGCTTCTAAGTGTTTGCCTGGCTCGTTATCCTGACCAGATAACCTACCCTTGTCTTCCAGCTTATGTGGCTTCCCATCTTCTACAAGAGCAGGGGTCATTTCGTAGAAAAAGAGCTAGGGGGACTCATTAGCATAACTCATTAGCATATGCCACACCCCCTGACATCACCAGAAGTGTGTCCTCCCCACAGCCGGCGGCGACCTCCAGCGGGCACCAGCAGGGAGCTCCAGGCCCCGCCCTCCGGCACCTCACCCGGGGGGATGGCGTCCCCCCGCGTACCCCCCCAATGACCCCTGTACAAGAGCAAACTCCCCTGTAATTTCATGGTCCTCCATCTCACCTGTAGGTGAGATATGGAGGCTGCCAGATCAGCATCATGGAATTGCACAGCTGGTTGGATGACCAACAGTGACCAGCATGGCCAAAGGCCATGATCTCACCAGTCTGTGGAACATGCTGGATGCAGATTGCAAATCAGCAGCTGTGCACCTGGAAAGAACTAATCCAGCAACCCCCATGCCTCTGTTGCCACTTTGCAACAGGGTTCCCCTTGTCATTAGTCAGGTTGGGAACATAGGACACAGAGGAAGGCTTATATCTCCCCACATACTGCAAATTCAATTCAAACTGCTTCCATGTACACCTGAAAATTTGCACACATCTGCTTGACAGTCCCTTGGCTTGACACAGGAAGGGACCTAGGAACAATATATTGTGTAGATATGCGCTGAGTGTCACGAGCATATGGGCATGGAGGCATGTAAGTTATTACCCAATTCTAATGGCCCATGAATCAGTTATAGAGACTTTAGAGGTGGAGAAAATCCATTCCCTTGCAACAGCACTGGGGCCAATAGCAGAAATCCGTATAACAAAGCCCTGACATTTTTAAAAAATGAAAACCACTGTATTTGAGTCATATTGAGAAGGGGGTGCTTAGCCTTTTCTATGCCAGCCATTTTTATCCTCAAATTCCCACCTAAGTTGACTTTATCCCTAATGGAGTTCCAGAAGTATACCTACAACCCTACAACTACAGGAGTAAGCACATCTGGAACTCCATGGGGGAAACCAACTGGGAGGGGGGCAATGTTCAGTGGGAAAATAGCCAGGACATTAGAAAATGAATCAAACCTTCTTCTCCTATGCTGTTCCTTCACACAAAATCACAGCCTCTGAAGTCTACTTTTACAAACTGCCAGAGCTTAATTTACCTGTACCTGTATTTTACCTGTACCTTAATTTACCTGTATTTACAGTTTGCCACAAATAAGGTTATGAAAAACAAGAGCACGGAAGGGAATTTTTAAGGGAACCATCTGGCCAGCTGTATTTCTGTCTTCTTCATGTTTGTAGTTGCTATAAAGTTTGGGCATGGCCAGAAGCACATGCTGTTGGAATGAGCTGAAGAGCAAGAACTAAAATGCTCTT